ATGTTTTGAGGTATTTTTGTTTCCAGGCTTCGATCACCACGAATTTTTGAAAAACATTCTCATTTGAGATAAACATGAACTTACTTAAGTTTTGAGTATACGTGATGCCTAGAAGTGTTATATCTAAAACATTGAAAAAAATCTTTAGGCGTTTATGTGTCCTAAATATGTTGATGGCTAGAACAGATTTTGATAAGTACTCTACAATATGTACTTATCAAAAGTAATTGTTTAAAAACTCTTTACTTTGTTGTTAACTTTTTTTTCTTCACATTTTTTTTTGTCCATTTTGCTTTTTTAGCAGTTACCTTTTCTTGCAAGAAAATTTTTTTAAAGCAATTTTTTTTTGCAGGAATTGTATTTTTTACATCTTTTTTTCAAATCTTTTTTTTTTGAAGAGTTATATTTATCACAAGTGTTTTAAAAATGCAAAGAGCGTTTTTAAAAAATATTACTCACATCCCGAATATTTTATCTATATTTAAATAGAATTGAGATGTTACTTGGTATTTCTCGGTTTTCAATTCCACAATATGTAGATGATTCTGTTTTTGCATTTTGAATAATGTAGTTTTATTTTGGTGGTTTGTTATCGTAAAGTTCCCTGTAAGTACTAAGAAAAAAAATTATCTTTTAAAATAACTATGACAATAAATTATTCTTGCAGGAACTCAATCAAGTCAGACATCTTGTGCTCTGAACCTTGGGCTATGCATCACTATCGTAATCATCAAAATGATGTTTTTACTTTGCTTTGAGATCTTGTGAATAATTATCGACATATTTAATCATCAACAATATATAATAAGCCATCTTAACTAATGATTAATTTTGCGAAAAAATTATTTGTAAATATTTTTAAGAGAAAATGGAGTTAGATTTTACATATATAATGTCATGTATAATGTCATATTTTATAATATTACATTACATATTAATAATATTACATGTATAATGTCATATTTTATAATATTACATTACATATTAATAATATTACAAGTATAATGTCATATTTTATAATATTACATTACATATTAATAATATTACATGTATAATGTCATATTTTATAATATTACATTACATATTAATAATATTACATGTATAATGTCATATTTTATAATATTACATTACATATTAATAATATTACATGTATAATGTCATATTTTATAATATTACATTACATATTAATAATATTACATGTATAATGTCATATTTTAAATCTTGAGTAAAAATCATATTTTACATCACAAGCAAAATATCAAATAGCAAATATTAAAAGCTTGTCTTAGGATTTAATTTTAAAAAAATTAAGTTCCAATGTTACTGAAACTTGTTTTCTTTACTAATTAAGCTCATTTTGTATTCATTGATTCTTAGACTTTTAGTGGTTTCTAGACAATAAGTGTTGATTTGTCTAACGCAACATGCCCTTTATAAAGACATAAAAATCATCGAGTATAACATTGCGACATACTGTTCCAGTAAATTATTGATTCAATAACCTAGGGAGTTTGACCAAATCAAAAAATATATTATACATATTATGGTAAATTTGATTGTAAACAATCAAATTTACTTTCCGTTAGAAAGCTTTGGAATTATTATAAGCACTTACAAGTATTTTATTATGAAACGTCAAAAATAATAATTTAGCAACGTCTCATTCAAATTTTATTAAAACTGTTCTTTATGACTTTTTCCTCCAAACTAACTGTATTTCTAAATATTGTAATAAAATACAAATTAAGAACATGTTTTTAAGTAATAAAGTTATTGTAAGAAGTTTACTCTCGTTACCTTTATATAACGAGTCCTAAGAACAGCCAAAGTCATCCAAAACTTGTCCTTTCTTATTTACTTGATTATTATATTAGGCAGCCGTGGCGCCGTAATTAGAGTTCTTGCTCGGTATCAAGAGTTCCGAGGTTCGATGTTGCCTGTGGCCAGATAAGTGACATTGGTGTATAAAAGGAGACGTAAACTTTCTAGTCAAATGGTCTTTCGCGGTGATTTTTGATTGATTGATGAACTTTGATGAACTTCTTGATTGATTGATGAACTCTGATGAACTTCTTTGAGCACCTTGATAACCACAAAAAAAATAGCATTATATTCTTTACTGAAATTTGGACATCTAGTATTATATTAATTAATGCGTGAAAAATTTATGTGCTGTTATTATTTTATTTTGAAAAATTAAGTGTCAGATATAAAAAAGAGATTTAAAGAAAACTTATTATTTAATATGCGCCAATACAACTAGTACTCAGTTACACTCATGAAAGCGCTTCTTTTGTTATTTCTGTCCTACATTCTCAATATTTTTCACTAAAAAGAATTTAAACTTAAAAATATAGTTAATGATATGTTTTATTTAATAAGTTGTTAATTTAACAATACTGGTCTAAATACTCAAATAAATTATTGCTATTTAGTCATAGACAGTTGTTTTGTGTTATTAAGCAAGCTCTATGAAACCAAAAAGTTTTATCAAATAACACCTTGACGTAAATAAATTTAACTGAGGCAGTTTCCTATCTACATTTTGTAAACTCCAAAACTTTAAACACTAAAGTAGCTTTAAACCTAAACTTTAAACACTAAAGTAGCTTTAAACCTAAACTTTAAACACTAAAGTAGCTTTAAACCTAAACTTTAAACACTAAAGTAGCTTTAAACCTAAACTTTAAACACTAAAGTAGCTTTAAACCTAAACTTTAAACACTAAAGTAGCTTTAAACAAATGGAAACTAATTTTAATGTAAGACCTGGCTGTAAAGAAGAAAGAGAAATAGCTATGCAAATGAAAAATAACTTTAATAAAGCTAAACTGCAGAAAGCAAAGTAAAATCAATTTTTTAAGTTATTGTTGTTGTAGTACTAAGCTATTATATTGCAAGAACTAGGTATCAAGCTACCATATTGCAAGAACTAGTTAACAAGCTACTACATTGCAACAATTAGGTTACAACTTACTATATTGCAACGACTAGGTAAAATGATAAATATATTGTTTTTGTTTGAATAAATGATTGATGAATAAATAAAGTAATATAGTTAGTTATAAATTAGGTTTTTTCAAAAAAAAAAGTTTGAAAAATATAATACACCTAACACCGCCATTCAATAAGTTGAGTTTAGTTTTGTGTTATCTTGTACTTTTATTTCAATACATCGAGTTGGATCGAATTGAAATGGACCCATTGCATTGGATCAATCTTGATTCAATCGATTTAAATTAGCTATATAAAATCTTTCACTCTCCGTTATACAAAGAATAACAAAGATAACACCTGATGAATGCTAAAGCCTTTTTAAATACTTATCGTGACATATATTTATATTTTAAAAATGTTTTTTTTTATTGAAAGGTATGATGTGGTATTCAAAGGAATAATATAGAGTTTAATTTTACTGTATTAGTTTACTATTATCCGATTGCAATTATTTTTACTTTATTTATTTATTTATTTTTTTTCTACTTTTTATTTACGAATCGCATTGGTTTTAGAACTAATGAGTTTTTAATTCCTACTAACCTGTTATACTCTAATAAAAACATTATTAAAATTTGCCCACTTTTGTTATAAGTGGGCGTCAAGAAGAAAAAATTATACTATGGTTTGGAAATTTGTTTTTGAAATAATGCATTATCTTGTGGGAAAATAAAAAATTAAAAGAACTATATAGAAAAATTTAACTAAAAAAAAACTATAAAAATATTGAAAAAAATTGAGATCAGATTTTAAATATTAGAACGCGAGTAAAACTATACAAACAATAAAAAATTAAAAAGTTATACAAAGTTGGGAATAGAGAGTGTTTAGATAATATTGATTACAGATCTAATGATTAATGCTGATAATAACACAACGAGTTAATGATGATTTGCGAAAAATGATCAAAACTTTTGGTGCTGATTTTTGAATACATATATAATAATAATAATTTTAGCCACATTAAATTTTTCATAAATCTATATATAAATTGGTTCGCAAACATTTATTCGTACCCAATTACATGTATATAATTTATGACGCAATAGTTAATCCATAATTTAACTATACCATTTTACTCGAAATTAGGCGGTTTTAAAATCCAAACATAGAATTTCTAAAGATTTTTTTTTCTCATTAAATTCTGTTTTGTATTTAAAAACTGTTTTAAGATATATCTACTCTACAACGTTTAAATATAAATATATTAAAGTTTAAAAAAGAAATATTTTGTTGTGTATTTTAACGCATGTTTTGTTGCTTTGCAGCTAAAAAATAAATATTTTTTCTAGCTTCTTCTAGTTTGCCGATTACCGATAGATTTCCAACATTCAGCATTCGATACTAGGCTCACTACTTCGTAAGCATAGTCAGTGCTTTGTGAAAATTCTAGCTTGAATATCATTATTGTTAAAACAACGGTCTTAGTTATTCTTTATAATCTGAAAACAATATTGATAATAATAAAGATATGTAAAGTAAACGGTGACAGAAAACATGGACATTTACTCACAAAACTTGCACTTAAATTTGAGAACGTTAAAAAAAGCTTATTCCCAAAAAAGAACCTTATAAATTATTTTATATATATATATTTTTTTGTTGTTGTTGTTTATAAGCTTTATTGTCAGGTAAGTTTTTTTATTTTTTACTTTTATTTTTATAAACTTTATTTCAAATGTTACAAAAACATTAAAAACAGTCTTATTTTGCGTTATTTTTTAAATGTATTATTTATTTAAGTTTATTTGGCTTTAAATTGTGAATGTATTTGCTTAGCAATAAAAAAAAACACTTAAAAGAAAACTATATGACTTTGCTGTTAAGCCTTTGTTTAAACGAACTTTGTTGATAAGCCATTGTTTAAACGAACTTTGAAAGCCTTGTGAATTGGCAAATTTCTATCTATTAAAAATAATATCTAGTTTCATATTTTTGAATTTGAAAATTTTTAAAATAATATTAATTTATTTTAACATGATCCCCAAGAAATTTTATTTTTATTTTATTTTGAAATAGCCTAATTTTTATAATGAGGAAGTTTTGCAATCAAAGTTGGTTAGTTTCTTTGCCATGAGACGATCTTTAATACCTGGCTTTATAAAGCGCCGATCAAGTCTTTTTTCAAGTAAAGACTCTGATAGTTCAGATTTTAACGAATATTCGGATGTATCTAAAGTATGTTTTAAAATAAATTTCTCATTAAAGCTTTACTTTTTTATTTGGTTATTTTACTTAGTGTTTATATTTAACCGAGTACGCTCTGCACTTTACCCAGTTGTCATTGTCTAAGTAATTTCTGATGTCATCATTTATTAAAACAAGATCGGTTTAACATTTTAGGAAAGCGATTTTTACAGCGAAGAAATCAAAATAATACGCGAAAGATACAATGGTGAATTAGAGCGTTCAATTAGTGATGGTAGTAGTTGTTTTGACGAAAGTTTAACAAAAAAGAAGTCTCAAGTAGATAATGACAGCATTACTAGCAGTAATAAACACAGAAGTAGTTGTTATGAAAACATTTTTGAAAAAAGTAATGTCAACAATAGTTTATCAAATTTGGAATTAAGTAGACAATCAGCTTTTGAAGAAACACAAATGGTTGATCAAGAAGATATAATAGCACTGACTCGTCACGTTAGAAATTTTTCTGATGCTCTTAATAATTTGAGAAATACATTCAAAGAAAGTATAGTAGGTATGTCTTATTTTGCTCCAATATGAATTTGTTGTTATTTTAATATACAGACCAGAATCATTATTAAATAACACTCAAAAAGATAGATTTGATTAACTAACTTTTCTAAAATATTTTTTGTCTACCTATCTATGCTGGTCATGAAATTAAGTAACTTTATTGACATACAACATTAGGATAAATTTATTATTTATTATTTTTAATTGATAGTTAAATATTTAATTTTCATAAAGAAACTTTACTAATTAATTTCTTAACATGTTAAACAATCTTTAGTCTATTAAATATAGCTTTTTTTTTTTTAACCAAAAAGTTTGTAAAAATTTAAAAAAATTAAAATATTTAAAACTAACTTTTCTTGATTTTTACCAAGTTATTACCTCAAGTTTTTCAACCTACATGCTTTATATATTCTCAATTGTTGATTATGATTGATATACACAATATTTTGTTCATTAAAAAATTTCATATTCTGTTCATTAAAAAACATATACAGTTCATTAAAAAACATATTACAATTTTGTATGTACAACAATGTCTTATGAATTAAAAAAGTAGTTTATGAACATGTCTTTTGTATTCATGAAAAAAATTATAGTCAATTTCTTTTATTCAAAACCACATTTTAAATTGGTAAAATGTCACTATATTTCCAGCAGTCCACATAGTCGATGATTAAAAAATTCAATTTCTGTAAGCCCTAATTTAAACCTTATAAGTTAATATTTAGATTTGGGTAAGCTATAACATTTTCCATAAAAAAAAAAAAACATAAAAAAAATTTGCAGATATAAATTTTTGTAAAAAAGTTAGATTGTGTACTTACTAATATTTAAATTGTAAGTTATTAGGAAATGAGAAATAACTTTTATATAGTAGCTTAAATAATGAAATAACATTAGAAATAATAATAAATTGTTTAAAGATCATCTCTAATCCACATAATAAAAATTTTATTAAATATTATTATTAGATATTTAATGATACATTGAATGTATGAAATACAAAGTCAGTTTAATAACTTTAACTTTCTTAAAAAATTTGTGCAAACTTAATTAGTTCCTGTTCTTTATATGTTCATGTTTTTTTTCCCAAAGTAATCTTTTATCTCTCAATATTTTATGAGATCAAATAAATAGTAGTTTTATGACTTTAAAAACTGATATGTTTTTTGGGGCTTCACATCCATGAACTATTTTGGTGGATCCTATCAGATACACTAACTATTATTAATATGTTTTTAATCCTAAAGTTTTATTTCCTAAATGATTGATATAAAGGTCGTAAATAATTTTTACAAGTCTATTATAATCGTGTCCTTTATTTTTAAGACACTGTATATCATCAACCTTCTTTTATAGCCTGTGTTTCACTGCCATAAATCATAACACACTACATGTACTTTTATATTAATGATATTAGGGATATAAATATTTTCTGATTTTTGCTCATTAAAATTACATTCTAGCTTTTTCTGTCTTCTATTCTTCACATTCTTCTCTGATTCTCTTATCAAAACTCTTTAATTATAAAGATATTTTATCTAACCGTCATAATCTAAACCTGCTGTTTTTATTTTTTACCTTTAGATTTTTAAAAATCTTTAAAATTTCTAACTTTATAATTTTTTTCTCACTTCTGACATATTTTTAATTTTTTAATTTTTTTATTTGTAAGCTGTTACAAGTATACTCATCCTCGTTTTTGATAAATTGTTTCAGATAAGTTGTTAAAGTAATTTTTTAAAATTAAATTTAAAAAGCAAGCAAATGTTTACTAATTTTGAAATTTTAAAATAATACACTTTTTTTTTTTTCAGTTGCTAATAAGAAACAAGAATTTTTTTTTTTTAAATAAAAAGAGGTATTAAATAAATGAAGACTTCATAATATATTTTATTTATTTTCTTGAATTTGAAACATAAAAAATTATATAAAGACAAGGAGCCATGGTCGTGGTCTTTTTCTGTAATAAATATATAAAAAATAAGTGATTACTTTGTGAATAATCAATCTAAATTAAAATGATAAACAGTTTAGAAAATAAAATGAAGAACTTGGTCATGCATGATTTCATAAATTTATTTCATCATTTAATTTGTATTGTTTGATCAAATTTTAGCAACACTTAGTCAAATGATATCATCAATGGTATGTTGAAATAAATAGTATAAAATCAAAAGTGCAATCAGTTATTGTTTAGATAATTGTAGTTGCTTAATTGTTGACACTTAGTGTTTGTGCTTATTTTGTCCTCTTATTCTGAAAAATTTTTTGGCTTGCAAATGTACAGTACTTCTTTATGACCTCACTTATACTTCATTGTGTTTATTTCATCTCCATTTTAAAAAGAAAATGTATATGATTAAAAAAAAAAATTATCAAAATAAACTGCAGTATTGCTTTTATGATTTGCATATTTCAAGTCCGCCCCTTATTATAAAATATTTTCATTTTTTTGAATCTAGGCTTATTTATTTATAGCAAAAAAAATATGTCAAAAAAGACTTTTAAATGTTAAAATAAAGTTATGAAGTTTTTGCTAGCTACAGGCATTTTTTTTGTTTTTTTGCCTCCACAACAGCATCTTCTGGAGTCTCAGGACGGTCTTATTAATTTTTTTCTTTATTAAGTTACAGAACATAATTTTTTTCAGACCATTCACAGCTTATTAAGACTAATTAGCTAAGCAAATTAATAACATAGTTATCTTGATAACAACACATTTCTGCCAGTGTTTTGATGTTTAAAAAAGTTCTTTTTTTAATTCTCTTTCTCTTTCGTTTGTTACAGTGTATAATATCTTTACATATGTTATGTATATTATCTATATATTTTTAAAAGTGTTTTATTTGTATTTTAGAAAAATAAATAAAAAATAGATTTCAGTAGTAGGGCTCAAACCACGGCGCTTTGCTTCAGAAACTCTGCAACTCAGCCACTCAGACTGATCAGTCTGATTAGCATTTTTAAATTATTTAAGAAACAAAAAACTTTATAAAACAGCAGATAAATGCTACAGATCCAAATTAAGGAGATATTGCCGCAATACAATTTTCAAGTAAAAGTTAAACTGTTAAAATTGATATATGTTTGAATATTACATAGTTTGATGTTTACTTAAGATACACTTTGGTGTACATTTTCTAAATTAAAAAAGTGCTGCCACTCTTTTTTGCCATTACTTTGGTTGCAATGGCTGCCAAGAGTTCTGTGTCAAATATGTTCAAAGGAGCACTAATACTATTTTGGTTTTGGTCTACTTGCATTAATCACTACCTCCAATAAAGAAAGCATGAGCATATTATGAATATTAATGGGTTAGCGACATATTTAAAATCAATATTTTTTAAAGTTATTAAAAGTTCTCCATATTATTTGTACACAAAGTTACTCAAAATCACTGATTAATATATGTTTTCAAAATATACATCAATTACATGTATTTCTTTTTAGTCATAAAAATAATTATTCTCTAAAGTCATTTAGTCTAAAAATTATTCTCTAAAAGTGTTTTATTTGGTTTTTATATTGGCTTAGCTAAATGTTTTTAGGAATTTATTGAGACAACTCGTTTTTGTGTTATTACTATTAGGAAATATTTATCTTCTTTCTTTTTTTTTTATAATAAATAGTTTTTTTTTTTTTTTTTTTTTTTCACCTCCTCAAGGTCAAGAAGGCCACTACAAATAAGGAGGCTACTTAAGAGTGGTTATAACCCTCTCTCAACTCTATAACTCCGAAACACGAACCTTGTTGAACAAGGCCACTGCGCAAAGAAACAAGTTGAGCGCGGTACTACCAGGGGCGTGGTGTTAAATTTAATATTACTATTAATTATTACTATACTATTTATATACTTATATATTTATTAATATACTATTTAATATTAATTTTAACTTAAATTTAATATTACACTTTTAAATTTTTTTGATGTAAACGAAAGCTGCGAGCTGTAGTAACATAAGAGCTTATTTAGGCTTGCCTTAAAGCTGTTGACAATTAGAGAATTGATTACTTTATCTGGTAGAATGTTCCATGCATTAACAATGCAATTGCTAAAAAAGTGGAAGTAAGCTCTTGGTGGAATTGTGATGAGAGGAAAGTGCTAGTTGTAAACTGGCATTTTCCCCTCAAACTATTGATAGCATTAACAGTTAATAACATGTCAATGTTATTAATAGTTTTATATTTTTAGATGAGGTTTCTTCGTTTACGACGTTCAACTAGAATAGATAGGCCGAGTTGTAAACATCTTTAAAGATAGGCCAAGTTGTAAACATCTTTATGACGTTCAACTAGAG